TATTATCCATTTTTAACTCCGATCATATAAACAGAACCCCCAGAGCCATGCTGCTACAGCAGAGTGTCATTCTGTTAGCACAGACTCGTGCCTCAGACAGCACATACCCATTTTCCAACTTGCGTTGTGTAATGTAAAATAAGCTATTTGTTTGCATATGTTGATTCATTTGAGTTGTCATGTCCACACAGCTCCCAGCCACCGTGACTTATCATTTAACTGATTATCCACAGACTGAGATCTCCCTCTTCCCAGCAGCTCTGATGTCTAAATGTGTGAGTTATGAAGCTCTAGATCAAAAGGCATACATTTGAAATAAAGTAGTTTTTCCTGCTGTGTGCGAAAATGAGGGTAGCAATTACCGATGCCTTTTTATCATGTAAGAACACCACCATGAGTGGAGAGGGAACATATTTAGATTAAACATAGATAATGTTGGTAACTGATGGCATATCTAAGATTAAGCTTGAGTCAAGTGAGAACATACTGATCTTCAGAACAGATCAAAGGAAAAAGAAATGTAAGACGGCAAGCAGTGCTGTCTTTGCTCAATGAAAAACGCCCAAATTACATTGCAGTCATGTTGTTTTCTCTCAGCCTTGTCCTTGGCTTCTCTTCTCTTTCCACATGACAGCACTGAAAGCCTTGCTGTTTTTCCCTCCCTCACACCTCTTGTGTAGCTGTTGCCAAAGCAGCCACAGAGAAAGAGGAGGACAGTGTGCTGGAGAGGAGTATTGATTTGCAATCAGACCCAGAGTTGCACAGGCAGGTAGGGGAGAAATATTAGCTCTCGTTTCTCAGGAGAAGACAACAGCCACATATCCCCAAAGAAAAAATATATATCAGCAGTGCATGCCGTACCCATCTCGCTCTGAATGTGCCAGTCTGTCACATCTGCAAATGCACACAGAGGCACAGACTGTGTCACCTGGTGCATGACTAAATTGAGACCAAACCGAAGCTTGAAGGTAACTCATTTAACCTTTGTGCGCAGGGGGGTCATTTTCTTCTGTTTTAATTGTTCACTGAGTCTTTTGTTGTCGTACACAGTATATCAGCTGTCCAGCGTTTGTTTTCACATGCAAACACACAGACCAGACCCTTCAAGGAGAGCGTTTACTTTAATTCAACAACGCAGGCTGGCCATTACAACGTGTAGCTTATTTTACAATACAGGCAGTCTTTTGTGAAAGTCTTTTTTATGTCTCTCACTCATGTCGATTCGCTTGTTGCTGGAGGCATGCCCTGACTAGGACTCAAAAGTGAGTGTTCCAAAGGCCTGCCAACAGGTTAGCCTTAAAGCTAGATAGAGATCAGAACAGATAAACCACTGATGACTAACCATCTGAGCAACGTAGTTGAAAAACTACAGAAGAAGACCACAAAGTGAGAGAGAAACCACAAAAAATACCAAGGGCCAATAGGGGAAGTTAAAAAGTTGTTGAAAAGTAAAAGCAACAGATTCCAGGTCAGAGATCTCTGTCCAGAAGAGTGCAGTCTTGTGCTTTGTTTCCACACTGGTGTGTGTTTGGATGTGAATCAGCTAATGAATGCGTCTGTGTCAGTCTCAATCTTCCTAAATACTCTACTCTGGAAGTTCAATCAACTCTTGAAATGTTTCAAATTTTAGGACATGCTTTCCTGAAGTAACTGATTTTTAAAAAAGTAGGAAGTAATCAACTAAGTAACTGATTGATTTAATGTTTTTTAAAGAAAATCTTTCACATAAAACAAGGACCAAGCAGACCAACCACTGTACTATTAATGCCACTCTCTCAAGCAATTCCATGCATGCAACCCTTTTAACTAGAAAGGCAAACTACTCACATCAGCCTCTTGCTAAAATGAAGATCGTCCATCGGAAGGAAGAGAAATTCATGACTTACGTTTCACACTAGAAGCTGCAGTCTGTATATTATGGACCAAATGCAGACTTTTTTGGAACAGAGAAGCTCGCAGACTGCATAGAAACCTCAGGTTCCAAGGATTGAGCTTGAATGAGTGACCTGAATACAGTGAGTGCAGCAGACAGCGTGTAGGATGTTATCTCCTGGTTTAGCAGAAGTCACTCTAAAAACTGAAGACATTGACCTGCAATGCACACATCATGACCTATCAGCAAACCTAATGTTACGGCCTCAAATACATTTGTCCGTTTCTACCTTATTGTGTTGAGCTCCTTTCAAACTGTGACCATGAAATGTGACCACCAGCACAACAAAATAAGCAGCGGTCCAAAAAGGCAAGAAGAATATAGTTCAATGTTTCATGTTCAGGGAGTTCAAAACGATTACAGGGACATGTCAGATTGATCAAAAATAAGCTGTCATGAAGACATTATGGCTCCTCTTGCAGGGATCATACTATAAGAAAAAGATATTATAACACCTCTATGCTGACTTTATTTTTTTAAATAAGTCTGTTTTAAGATGTTTGATAAAAATGTTGTCTTGGTTCCTGTTTTTTTAACATCCCCTTTGCACCCCCTGAACTGGCATCTACAAGGAGGAAAGAGCAAGAGGCAAGGGAGGAGTCGAAGTTGTTAAAGCCAGAAAATGAAATGAGTGGATTGTTTTAGCTACAGCTACAATGGTGCCCTGAAAACACAGTAAAAGGCTATTTAACCAATTTTGTCGATGACACTTCTGACCCGTTTTCTTCAAATAACAGAAAATCTTTAATGTATTGAAATGTCATTCTATATTGATATTTTTCCGCCACTTCATAATATGCATTTCTTACATGTAGATTAGGGAAACTCAGCAGTTCAGCATTTCTAATTGATTACAAGTGCTTCCAAATGCTGCAACAGGATGATAAACAAGACTTTACTGTTGTTCCTGTGTTTCCACCGCTCCGGGTTTCCCGCTACTGGCTTCTCTTTGCGTTTAGAATAAACTGAAAGCTACAGTTAACTACGTGTAAGGCACAAATTGGTTCCTTATTCCGCTGCTTGAATACTCTGATTTTTAAATCTCAGAAATTCACCCGTCTGTGCTTTTACAGCCCCAACCCTGGGGAATCATATCAGAGTCTTTGAACTATTTTTGAGCAGTTTAAAAAAAAGACTTTTCCAGGCAAGCTTTTTATCTTAAGTTTTTCATTTTGTTCTCACACGTCTGTCTGAGGAGTCGAATTAGTTACGTAATCAAAAAGTAGTTTCTTTTACTATTAATGTTTCCTAATCCAGACGTTTAAGAGGTCTAATCCTATTTTTTCCCAGTTCTGCCCTCCTGCTACCACAAAGCTTGTTTGTCTGTCCACACAAACAGATTTTTACAGGTATTGATGTGTCACAGTTTATCCATTTTCTTCAGACACATAAGGGCACCGGTGCTGAGTGGAAAATAGGTGTTTTCTCACAAGGTCAGCCACAGAGCTCGGTCCTCAAGACACTGACAGCGGCTCAAAGCAGATGAATGACAGTTCCCGTTGGGAGGCAGGCGAGGATGAAGGCAGAAAGTGGTTCTGCATAGCAATTTCATGCGGTTGGCTCCCCGATGTGCTACAAAAAAAGTAACTTTAAACTTGAAAGAATTTGGTGAATGACAGGGATTTGGAGCATGGGAGAGCGCTCCCTCGCTGTGATTACTGCCTTTTACCCGGTCACATACTTGTTCATTTACACTCATAATCTTGGTGACAACGTTTCTTCATTTTCCAGGGTGCTTTATACTTTTCCACCAGGGAACAACCGTGAACTGCTCAGTTTGTCCAGTCAAATGGTTTACATGTTTGCCTTTTTTGTGGAACTGGCTTCCAAGTTAAGCAAAATTTGCCTTCCTGAGGTCGTTTTTCACTCTCCCCATCCCCTAGTCTCCGGACCAAACATCCCCTCCATCGATTCATTACCCTGCAAATGTCCAGTTAGCGGTCACAGCCACCCTCCTGGGAGAGCTGTGAAACAACACCTCTTGCACAGCATATCCCAGAAAATAAGGGAGTCCAGGGTTCAGAGCGGAGGATGATGAATAACAAAGTTTCACTCTCTCCACTTCAGCTATGACTCACTGCTTTCACAACCTTCTGTAAGTATAGTCAGTTAAAGGGTGGTATATTTCATGGAAAACAGGAAACCAGGACTTGACTTAGACCGGAAACACATTTAATTTCCAGAATATTTACAGTAGAACACAGCGGGAGATAATTCCTCTGTGACAAAGAGCCCTGGGCTGGAACACATTAGACTCCATACGTTCTCTTCCTCACTCCCACTCATTCTTTCCATCGTGTAATATACCTTGATTCAGGGGCAGCTCGTGAACAACCAACCTCAGCAGGAGATCCATTCTTCATAAAGTGCTTTGTTTTAATAGTCATGCTGCATAAATTCCCACAGATGTGCGCTAAATGTGTCGGTGTGTGCCTGTCGGAAAGTTCAAAACATGCAATCCGTTTGAAACGTTGGAAAGATTTGAAACATTCATCTTATTTTTCAGCCGTTGTAGTCCCAAATAATGTAAAGTAACCATTAAATCTTAGCAGGTTTCAATTATATCAACATTAGAAAGTCATGATTTATTCACGTGTGCCACTATTCAGTCTATAGTAGTCTGAAGATGGAGATTAATTGACAGTGCTGACAGCTGCTGTATATATCATCCAGACGTCTGCAGAGAGAAATTACTGTTATTCCTTCAGGGCTAACTGAAATGTTTGAATCTGTAAGGATCTGTATAAACAGCATCTAAGCGTGTGCTTTGAATTTACGAGGAAAATGATTGATCCTTACTGTGCCAGAGGACAAACCCACGGCACAATGCTGCATTTCTGAAAAGACACAACAACAACCAAACCGCCACTATTTTATTTGCTCTCCAAAGAGTTTCCTCTCCTTCTCTACTCTCTTCTTTAAACAACAGAGACACTCACGCTCTCTCTCTCTCTCTCTTTCACACACACACGAACACACACACACACTTGGGCAGCAGCTGTAATGCAGACTTAAGTGGAAAATGGCCCCCTTACTTTTCTTGGGGTCGGGGGTAGAGGGGATGGTGGGGGAGGCAGGGCTTTCAGGAGGAGCCCCCGCAGGATGTCTGACATGTTTCAGCAGGACCACAGGCCACTGGCTGGCGCAGAGCACATGCTTGTGGTGGGCTGTTTGTCTGCGTGAAGCTGGCATGGCCTCCCGTTCCCCCGTGCATCTGGTCCCCATTAGCGGAGCCGAGAGTATAAAGCGGAGCGCTGACGGAGGGCTGGGAACAGTCTAGTTCCTGTGCCTGAATCATGGGCTTTGGTGTGTGGCTGTGCGTGCTGTGTGTGCAGGCGAGCCTGCTGTCACACGCCCTGGACTGCTCAGGGACCGGCCCGGGCCAGCTGTGTGTCAGCGGACCGACCGCAGACAGACAGGTAAGTGACGCACTTCTACTGGACACGATAGTTAGGGATGGACAAGAGTGTTCATTATGTGTCAGTCACGATCTGTGCCACTGAGATACACTGAGGTAGGTGAACGGTGTTTTAACCGATATTAATCTTGTTCACAGAAAACTGTCCGATTACTGATCCAATCGCAAGTGAAATTTAAAAGAGAAATTACATGGAAAATTTCATGTTTGTGTTAAGTGAGTTGAAAGCTGCATGTGGTGTTGAACCTTTGATATCTGAGTGAGGCTGTTTGATTTGGATTTTTAGGTAAAATTTTGAAAATGATAGTTATGATGAAAAACAGAATTCTGACACTTTCCAAGCCTCATTGCACATCCACGCTTCTCTGATTTGTCTATTTCTTTTAACCATCACAAAATCCATGTGAATGGAACAGATTTATTAACACCTTCTGAAGGGAAGAATAAATGATCTATTAAAGTTTCTACTTTCTGAAGTTTGGAAATCCAGAAGGTTCTTGATTGGTTCACTTTTTGTTCAGACATATTGTGGTCAGTTTTTATACGGTAGCCTGGCCAGAGGAAACCAGCAACTCTGCTGGAATGTAACTAAGTCCACTCTGTCTCTAATGAAAAACACCGCTGTGACTATCTGCCAAGTGTGTTCCAGGATGGAAGGAGACGTGTACCGTCTAACCCCGACCTGTGGAAACGTATCATTTTTTCAAAAACAGAAACAAAGTCTCATTGTAATGGTTTTTACAGCCATAGTGCCACCACACCAAAAAATACAACCCACTATGGAACAAAATCCTTCAGTTCTCCTTCTGGCTTTTCATGTGGCTGCAAGCTGTTTTACTTTAAACTTGCGGTTAACATTTTTGTGCGGACAGTCCTCATGTTCTGTCTCAAGTAATCGTCCTCATCTGGACAACGGATTTGACAGCTGCAGGAAGAAATTGGGAATATGGGCTTTTCTGCGGCATTTATTTGTAAAGTCATTATGGCACGCACAATTACAAGCTTCAGTTGTGGTGGAGGCTAACTAATGCCAGTGCCATCATCGTTTCATCGGTTAAACTGGGCCATCTGTATGTCTGAATCCAAAGTCCAAAACTTGTGTTTGTTTGTTTGTTTGTTTGCAATTACGTGAGACTCATTTCCATAGACTGTGTGCAACAGCAGTGAGCCACATGGACTGTGGCAGCATTTGAATATTTTGAGCACCAAAACCAATTATTTTATGAGTTTGTCAATGGCCAACAGATTACAGCTGTAACTTTGCCTCAGAAAAAGTCCCGTCCTGGGAAAATACAAGAGTTCAAGGATTATTGTTCTTTGGAAATTAAACAAAGCATTATGAGATCATGTTAAAGTAGGCTGTATGACTGGATGCTCTATTACTGTGGCCTGTTTGTGACCATTCCTTCATTGTTAATAACATGGACCAGATTTTTTCTAGATATTTCAGTATTTTTTAAAGATATTGTGTGCAAAATGCTACATATTTTGCTTAATTTAATATTTTTTTTCCAGAATGAAGAACAGAGGGAGCACAGGGCACTTCCCTTAAATGAAGAACTGGTATGTTCCACCATTTACACTTTTCTTTTCAACATTAAGTTACAGTCTTATTTCTGCATGCTGGTTTTCCACTCAGTGGCTCGAAGCACAGTTAAAGAAAATCAAGCTTGGTTCCAGATCACGGGAAACAGACTTGGACAGAATGGAACATGAGACGCAGACAACTGCTCCAAAGTTTAACAGTTCAGAATTGTCCAAAATCTGACACAAACAAACGTTCTTTGTGATCCAATGTTTCTTATATTTGCCAAAAACATGAAACTGTGCTGTTATTAACTGGTGTGACCCACATCAGTTCAAAGGAAAATGTTCTTTGGCTAAATTTCATTAGCTAACAACCAAACAGAAACAGACAAAGAACTTTGAATTGAGTGTGACGATAATTAGCAGCTAACCTAGTCATCATTGTTCTCAACAGACAAAAAGAAACACACTGGACAGTTAATCTCAGGTATTGTAATAAGTCTGACATCCTAATTTGCAAAGCAAAGCCCACTGTTACTCAAAAGGACAGTCCATTTATTTGGAAATTAGGTGGATCGATGGCAGTGTTTCTTTCGAAGCTAAATCAATGCAGGAAATGGTTAGGCCACAAGCAATATCAAGTTTCCTCCCCTGCTGCAGCCTGACGAACATTGAGGGAGAGGGGGACCAAATTAGCGGAGGAGAAAAAACCATCAGGCTGAGTCTCTCTGGTGCTGGACACCTCAGTGCTGAGAGGAGCACGTACACATGGCTGTGCCCCTCTGTGGTTGTGGTGGTGACTGTCTCACCGTTTCAGGTTCTGCTCAGACGTAAGAGACAGCTGGAGCGGCGGGGTCCCACCCACCTGAGTCAGTCCAGCCTGCCCGGATCCGTCTCCGTCAAAGGCTTCCCCAACACCCTCATCCAGGTAAACCACACTCATTAGTCACTCAGGAGTCAGCAAAAGCCAAATGTGAGGGGTGTGGAGACCGGCTTACAGAGGTGGCCACTGACGATAGGAAAGGTCAAATTCTAGTTTGCTGGCACGAATGACCCATATTAGCCCGAATCAGATAATTTGTGTGTCTAAACATTGTTTTGATGACAGATGATGATGTTTTGATGTGCTTCATTGCCTGCATCATCCTATTCTCTTTTAGGCCGACAGGTCAAGGAGACACTTGAATAAGAAAAAGAACAAGCGTAAAACACGCCCTGGCTCCTTCTCCCTCCTTAGCAACGACAAGAAATCCAACCCCCTACAGGTGAGTCTCCATGGCAACCCAGAGGCAGCACAGAAACAGCTGGGACAAAGAGTCCGGGTGTGCTAGCAGAGTTATATATCCAGCCAAACCGATTTGTTGGATCAGTTTAGAGTAAACACTTGTACAATTTTTTTTTCATATCGTGCATTCACTCAGACAGGGCACCCTAAATTTTAGAAAATGAAAATCTTCGTTAGGCTCTTTTTAGATATGTTGAACAAAGTTAAGGTCCTCTGTATGGTCATGGTTGTGTCTCCTGTATGGGAATGCACTTTCAGGTGATCCGAGCAAGGAGACAAGTTAAACTGGATCCACCCAAGAGGGGCAAGTCAGGTCGCTCTGGAGCTTTCTCCGTCCTGGTGAGTCACCACACACTGTTTATCATCTCAGACTCTGATGTATAATTTTGAATAAACATTGGCGTCTTCTTGTTCTGCAGGGAGATCCTCAGATTGAAGGGCAGGGCAACAGACCCGAGAGGAGCATATAGAAAACAAGTGCTGAGACTTTTCCGAATTTTGGCGAATCCCATCGAGGAGTATTTTGTGCACACTAAGGAGTAAAGAAACAAAAGCCTAGATAATCTAACACAATAAAAACGTAACTGTGTTCATTCAGTGTTTTGTTAAGAAATACTGGTGTGTGTGTGTGTGTCTGCTTTGATTATTTTATTAGTACGTCAGCTTACATTAATCAATCAGTCTCTACTTATAGATCAATTACATTATAAACTAATATATGTCTGCATGTTACATCACAAGAGATTTCATATTAATATTCTAGTTTGTTGTTTTATTGTAACCTATTTAATCAAAGATTCCTTCTGAGGATGGGGGTATATTTTTGCAGTACTGTTTCTTGAGTTGTTGTTTAGGGTTGCAATAAAAAATATGTGGAAACTTACGGTGTAAATGTCTTTGATAAAAAATAGTTTGGCACTGTTACAAAAAGATCTAACAACAATTACAAATTAGTGTAATTTTTTTCAGGACAAGCTAATTTGTCCACAAAGATATTGGATCTCGTAGTAGCTGTAGGTATTCATTTCTTCCACCTCCAGTCAGAATCAGTGGAATCATAAGATCCAGCATCATTTTGTCACTTTGGGTTGCAACAGGTTGCAAACGTTGCAGGTATGGGGCAAAGCTGGTGCCATTGGCAGGAATTCAGTACGGGCTTCCAAGAGACTGACTTATCCAATAATATTTCTGAGGCTAAGGGGCAAACAGGCTGCATTACAGGGATGAATAAACCTAAATGTTCAGACCATCTGTCACAGGAGACAAACGTTGTCTGTTCAAATATTTTCTGTCATTGGAATTTATTTGGCCAAATATAGAGATGTTTTGTGGTTCGTTCCAGAATTTGTTCAGGGTACTGATGCAAACATCTTCTCAGAAACTCAGATTAAACCAACACTTGTGTCACTACTGCAATTATTTAAGGTTTGGTTTAAAAAGGAAAAAAAAAATCAAAGTTCTAAAACTTCAGAGGCTATAAAACGGTTTCAGTGATAACAGCAGAAAATCCCATCTGAAAGGCCCTCTGATGAGGAAAGTGAGCCAGTGAGGGAAAAAAGGCAATCTAACTGAATGGAGTGACTCATCCTCTCCTCATTTAGTGATCAAAGCCCCTGGCTCATGACGTGGACATGCAGCACTCTCGGTCTCATTTTTATGGTTTTATAGGCACAAACACAGAGACGCGTAACAAAAAAAGCTATTTATAAACTTGGCATTTTCCCTGAAGCACATAATTGGTGCTAAACATGCTCCAGTAGCTCATTCTGGGAGAAAATAGACATGTATGATGTGCTGATGTTGTCATTCAGTTAATATACAGCCTGAATCAGCTGGTTGTGACCTGCCTCAGTGTAGTCTTAGTCACGTTATATCATGGGATGGGATTCGGATTTCTCTGAGACGCAAACAAAGACAAATATCTGATTGCCATTTTCAGAGCAACGCAGCTATCAGCCTCTCATGTTTTCACTGGTCGCATCCTGGAAGCCAAAGCATTCCGGGAAACTCCTGATAGAATGAGGCAAGAGCATTCGCATCATGCATGTGCCAGCTCACACACGCAAATATACACATTCCAAAAACAACACAGCTCTACTAGAAATGATTCAGCAGCATTAAACTTCATTCTAAGTGTGTCTGACACAAAGCCAACGCTCGTAGCCGTGTTTAAGCCATCGTAGTGGCGTCATGGTGGGTGGCTTTGTTTCTCCTCCAGTTTGGGTGAAGTCATACCCCTGGAGAACAAAGCGGACGGTAATCACCAATAACAAACTAATGTGGATGTCTTCAATCTATAGTCTGTGGTAGGAAATAGCCCAACATCAGACACATCTCAAAGTTTCCCAGAAAAGCTCAGTCAGGTTCATGTGTAGTTAGTGGCTTGAAGTCAATTTCCCAAAGCTCTGGAAACCACGGCGTAAGTATTAGTTTCTGGCTGGAGGGAGCATCTCATCCCAAACAACATGAAATGTGGGAAAACACACTCACAAACAAGTTCCACGATAGCAGCTGGGAGTTTTTTTTTTAAGTTTTTTTTTTATAAATAATTTCTGTTTTGCATTTTCGTCAAGCTGTGAGGTACACGGCTCGGATGATGGGACCAGAATGTATCTGAATCACTGCTCCCAGTGATTCAGATGCTTTTCTGATGTTTTTTCAGGGTTATTTTCTATTTTACACATATGTCCACAGGTTTTGAAATGTTCCCGTTAATATTTAACGTAATTGGTCACCCTTTTCTGGCAGCTGTCCAATGGTAAGTTCCAAAAACTCTCAAATGTTTGAGGGTTTCTTGCATGTTCAGATGGAAATTTTGTGGGTGGCCACTTAGAAGAAGAATTAAATGTTTGTCACACGCAGCAATTTTCCCTCACTGAAAATGTATGATTCAAAATTATTTACAGATCTTTGAGGAGTACCACATCTAGGCTGCACATGGTAAGTATACTGTACTTATATCATTCCGTTTTGAAAATGTCAGCAAAATGTGACTTTTTCTTTCCTATCTTTTGATACTGACTCAAAGGATAAGAAAGTACTTGTTTGTTCATTTATGTTGACAGTGAAATAATTTCTTCTTAGTTTAATTTACTTTTTCCTCTCTATGAGCTAAAGATACTGTTATCTGTGAACATTTAGAAAATGAACAAAAATTAGATTTTTTCTGCAGTAAAGTCATTTTTTATCAAAAGACACAATTTAAAAGAGAAAATTGAATGCATGATGATAGCTTTTTGTTTTTGACATTGAATGAAGTTAAGCATCAGTCTATTGCTGATCTTTGATTTACTTTATGGCCTTATTGTGCCATCGAGTGTAGCTTGTAGTGTGGGCATGTTGATGTTTGCCATTACCTAAATAAAGCCATTTGCTTAACTGTAAAACAAATGTGACGGGTTATATGCAGACATAACAAACATTTATCTTACCATGAAAAGCATATTATATGCAGACTTTCCTTAAACTGTTATTTCAAAATGAGTGACAGTTGAGACAAGGTTCCCTAACTTAGTATTCCTGGGGTGGTCCTCATCTATTCTTTGTTCCAAGCGACCTAAGACTGTGACCTCCCTTTCAGGCTGAATTTGACTCCTTCCTTTCAACTCCTGCCAGGTCCCATCAGATCAGATTCAGCGTGTTGGCTGTCTCCCCTCACTTCGTGTCACTGCTTTCCCGCCTGACATCACCTCCTTCAAGCATCCTCCTGAAGTAGATCTGTCAAAACCTCCTCCCACTGCTGTCACAGTGCCCAAACTCTGTCACATCCCCCTGACCCTAATGAACAAAAGGCAAGGGAAAGACAGATAAAGGCGATACGTGTAAGCCGTCTGGTATAGGAAACAGAGTTCAGTGACTTTTTGGATGCTGTTGTCTCACCAAATAAATGCTGTCTTTCACCTGCAGTCTGTTTGTAATTGTGCAACAAAAATCCAAACGTTTAACAGGCTTCCAGTCAAAACAGTGTAATCTACAGGAATGGCAGTTGTTGATGACACAGTAAGTCAGTGGCCAGGAGCAAGCAGGTGAAACATTGAAGGGGTATGTTTTACTGTTTCTGCTAAATTATGTCTCTGGAAATCATTTATTACCATCAAACTTGATAAATTAGGGAAGTTCAACATATGTGAAAGCAAAAACTTAATATGTCATAGGAATAAATACAGAATACAGAATACAGATAAACTACTTGTCCAAAATAGTACCAACAACATAGAGGTTTTAAAACACATAAAACACTGAACATGTTCAACATGAGAAATAGTTCACAAATGTGAAGATATATTAAATGGAATTAAACGTATATCTTACCAATCTACTGATGTCTCCATTCGAGCTAAATTCAATATTCTGACATTGGATAAGTGAAACAGCACAGGTAACACTTCATAGGGCATTAGAAACACGTATTCAATATGTCTAATATGAATACATATGTCTGTATGAACACAGGGCTGAATAGGAAACCAGCTGCTTACTATGCTCTTGGTGTCTTATGTTTCTAATTGTATTGCATTAACCTTAAAAAACAAACTTCAAACCCAATGACACAGTATTTATTAGCTATGATCTAATGATAGCGGATTGGGTATTTGCTTGTGACTCACCTGTTAAGCGGTATTGTGGGTAACACAGCAAGCCGGTGAGAAAAATGTGCATTTATGGGACAGATCTCCATAATGCGGCGTTATTTGATTAAAATATAACTATTCATTCGAAAAATTAAACCCTTCACAAATAGTAGTCCCCAGGTGATCATCCTCTTGGCTTGGACAAGGCATTTTTTGTCAGGTGGTTTGACAGATGATGAACAAACCGTTTGCAACAAACCTGAGAGGGAGATGAAGGATGGTGTCATCTCTGTTTCTCGGCAAACATTCTGTGCAGCTCTCCATAAAGGTGATGGATGTCTGCTGAGTAACGGCCACGAGGCAGTCTCTGCAATGCAAAAATATATTATAGCAGCAAATATTGGTGAGTCTGACCCATGGCCCGCCATGCAGACCCATAAAAAACCTGTTTATTAAGAGGGGGATATTTGCAAGCAGTTTGAATCAATTAGATTTTTAAACATGGCAGAGAGCTGATGATAAACCAAGAAGAAATAAGCTCATTTTGAAGGATAAGAGGCCAAGAATCTTTCAAATGGGTGATAACTAAACCAATGCAATCTGGAGGAATCAATAACAATTTACAGCCCAGTGTTACTCAGCCGCTTAAACAGGGCACACATTAAAAAGCCAGAGGCAGCAGCATCCAGGGATGGGGAGCCGGTTTGGTCTGGCTCGAGCCAAGTGTGCCGAAAAGATGAGCACTTTTCTCCCTCTCTTCCGTTTGACACAAAGGTCGTTGCAGGCTTTGAAGTGGACATGGGCTGTCAGCGAGGAGAGAAGAGCCGAGAACACTGTCGGGAGTTGGACAGGCAAGGAAGGAATTCCAATCAGCCGGAGCCATTGACGATGGAGCTACCTCGTCAAAAACGTCTTACAAAAACCACTGAGCCACAATCATGTCCTCCTAAAGGTGAAACATCAGTGAGACAGAACGACAAGAGAGCAGACTCATGACTCTGGCTGCCATTTTATCAACAACAAAAGTATTAGTTAAATTACAAAAGCTTTTCATGTGGCACGATTATTTCTGCAAAATTTCTGCTGCAGACAGATTCTCTATGCCAGCAAATATTGCAAAAAGCCACACTGCACATTAGGTAGTTGATCTAAATCAAGCTACCCCATCAGGGAGCTTTATTGAGAAACTCAATTTTATCCTGTGGCTGTTGTTTTTCTCTTTTAAAGAGCAACGCAGAACAAAGTAAATTCAGATTACAGAGAATGATTGAGCCCAGCGAGGCAGAATGCAGATAGAAATAATTAGCGCCTTTTTTGTCCTCATATCTGATGCCTATCAAGGTGTCTGCTCTAGAAGAGCGTTAAAAACCAAAATGTCAGCCAGCTGATTAGAAAAGAAATTAGTAAAACGTTTAAAAAGATAACAGTGTACTACTTTGTTGAATAGTTAAAAAGACATGAGAGAGCTGACGGCAAAAAATAATAATAATCACTTTGTGTTTAATGTGCGCATAGATCAAAAACTCTCCAAAGTTCACCTCCAAGTCCATGATGGTGAAGGGTGCCGACAAGGGCAGAAACACCTTAATATTTCATTTGAGACTAAATCTCTCTCTGAACTGGAGTGTGGCCTCACACTGAATTCAATTTTCAAAGTCATAAATAGATGTTTCAAAACTGCCGAGCGGTTGGCACTTTGGAGGCCCCAAGAGGACAATAAGTCATTTGGTCATGCGCACTGTGGGCCTGCCAGGACCTCTCTCTGTATCAAAGAGCTTTGTTCAGCATCTCTGCACCACCACACGACTTATTTGAACTTAAGCGTTTGAGCAAAGAGAACCGTGAGGGAAAATAAAACATTTTCCAGTGAAACTCAATGAACTCAACATCCAGATAATACCACGCAGAGCACAAAAAGGTAACCACAACAGTTCAGCTTTAATGAAACTAATAACTGCTTTGAAAATGTGGCGTTTTCCAAACATTTTAGATGTACTAGCACACCGTAATGCCAGTCTTAATCTGCATCTCTACAAGAAAATATATGTATCAGTGGCTTTTAATTTGATTGTACATACCGACTACCTATTCTCTTTATAACTCCTTATTTCAACTCCAAACCCATCTCACAAAACAAATAAAGACGAAGAGAAGCCATTAACAGATGTATCTATAAAGGCGTTGCAAGTAGATCCCTCCTTATTTTCTAAAGAGGTGAATAAAGTTCTTGTTCTATGGTACTACCATGACACTATCAGTGTGGGAGAGTGAGCGCAGCTTGCTGAACAGCGCCCCCATGTGGTCATCCATGCAACATGTCGGCACAAAATTTCTTTCTTTTTTTTTGCAATATGCATGCGCCATACATTTATTTATATGAAAGTTGTGGCCAAACAGGATATAATGGAACAGAAGAGACTCTTTTGGACGCAGACATGCTTATTTCAGGGAGCGCTGGCTCTCACTGAGTGGACTCTGGAGGGCCTCCCGGGGCGACCTGGACTCGCCGGAGGCCTGGGCTGGGTCACCGTCTCTCGGACGCGTGTTTTGTCCACCTTTTCGCCCCCACCGATGGCCACAGAGTCCAAACGCTCTGACCGGCTGTCCACGTGTGCTTTGTCCATCTCCAAAGCTAGCATCATGGCCTGCTTTAGGACGGTCTGGTACTTTTCATTCATCCGTTTGACCACCGGTCCATAGCTGTCACATTGTGATTTCAGTTTTTTTATCTCCGCGATTAGCCTGTTTTTTTCCTGGACAACACGCATGTGATGCAGACGGCGGTTGTCTCTGGCTCTTTGGACTTTAACCAGTGTTTCAGCTGCAACAGATGCCGCCTTTCTGTAATCTTCTCTGTCCCTTCGAGCGTTTTTCAGTTCTCTCTCCAAACGCTGGTTTTCAGTATATATGTCTGGAACCACATCGACCCGTTCGCCAGCCACCAGCCCTTTTTGCGCCATTTCGGTCCACTCCGTTTCGAAAATGTCGAGTGTTTCCGACATGCCATTTTCAAACAGAAAGCTGCGTAAGAAGTCAATTACTGACGGTGTTGGGTGCGCGTTGGCGCGTGCGTTGGGTCTTTGAGGGGCTCGAGCGCTGGCCTGTGCTCGGTCCTGGATGGCTTTTACCGTAGCTTCCAAGTCTTCTTCGCCTTCGGTTAAACTCCACTCATCTTCAAGAAAAACTTCCTCATATTTGAAGTCATCAAAGTTTTCCGAAAGTGCATCGTCGTGTTGTCTCTCTTGGTTTTTGTTACCAGCGTCCATCGTTTCATTTAGATTCAGGTCTGTGACAGAAAGTTTGATGTTGCTATGGTAACGATACGCCGCACTTCAACGCGAGACTTCACGAATTTACGTTTGCCACCCGCACCTCCCACTCTCCGTCACCAAACAATCATGGCGGACTACCGAGAGGCGCCCTTGGCCACTAGGCCAAAAACGTTGGATCCAAATGAATATTTCAACCTGTCGCCCGAGCAGAGGCGAGCCGAGGAAGCCCGGGGTGCACTAAGAGCGAATTTGAAGAGGCAGTATCAGATGCAGTTGAACAACCCGCACAGAAACGAGCTCATTGTAAGTGGCTACTAGCTAGCTAGCTACAATGTCACCTCTGAGAAAGGCTCGAGCTACTTGCAAATAACTGTCACAGATGTAGTTATTCGCAAAAATAATGTCCACATTTGTTTGTCTGTTCAGGGGACCCAGTTAATACTTGAGCTCATTTAACGTGGTATTATTCCCAAAGATACTTAACGAACCTGAAATAACGCTAACAAGTGGACATGTTTATTTCCTCTAAGGTGTGTGATGATTGGAGTTTTTAATCCGATCATCAGATATACTTATCGGTTATTTTATTTAAAAGTAATATTTCTATTGTAGCCTGAGTTAAGATCAACTTACGATTTCAGCTTTTACACAAAGCTACTACCACTAGCTATGAGACGTTATAATGCTCATCTAAGGGAAACCTTTCAATGTGCTGTTGTTGAAACACGTTCATTTCATTATTTTATCACACTGCAAACAGACTAATCAAAGTTTTAATAGAGAATATCCTGAGGTACCTCTACTTTTAAGTCAAATAGACACATTGTGTCACTTCAAACTCTATGATTCAACTTGCTCTCTTCTGTGGGATATCATAATTTCTCACAGTTATTGGTCTCCTGCAGCTTGTACATTTTCATTGATAAAGCTATAAAAGGGAAATTAAGCTCCAGTCCTTGAGGGCCGCTGACCGGCGGGTTTGCGGAGGGTTCCCAGCTTTAACACCTGATTTTCACAATTTGCAAACTTGTGAAAAACTCAACAATAATTTGAAGACATAATTTAATTCTAAATCCTGATCTCATCCACATCTTGTGAACATATTGGGTCTCATAAGCCACCATAACTCTGCTTAAAACTGTAATTTTAGACTTTCTTAGTTCTATTGCAATGCAAAAAACAATGGCTACCTTGTATTTGTCTTTGTACAAAAAGACAAACTGGAGCTAAAACTAAGTGTTTCAGATTGAAGGAATAAGGTATCCGGGACAATTTTATGGATCATTTTCATTTGATATTTGTTTCATGTTCCACACACTGTTAACTCTGGTGCTTACCTCTGTCTTTACAGGAAGACCCAGCCCTGACACGATGGGTATATGCACGAACCAACCCTTACGCACACTTCAGACCTACAAACAAAACATCTCTGCTGGGTGCCATGTTTGGAGTCGCGCCTCTCTTCATCCTGTACTACGTCTTCAAGACCGACAGGGTGTGTAACAAAGTGCATGGACTATTTTTTTCTCTGAATTATTTTGTATATTTTGAATGAGAGGACACAGTTAGTGGTGTTTGGGTGTTTTTTCTCCGTCCACAAGATTAATATTTTAACTTCATTTGGAGAACAAATGGCAATTTACACGTTACAGCTGTCATGATTTTCTGGTTGATTTAACTCACAAGAGGTTCCTGATTTGGTCATGAGTATTTTAAAATCGGGTGGGGACTTATTTTCTTGAAGTAATACAGCTGATGTGTGTTCATGTATATACATGTACACAGTCACATCCATTCACATTAAAGTTGAATGTTTCATTTGAAATCCTGCTGCCTTTCATTTTCCTCCCTATTGTTATGGAGATGCAGCCTCTAAATCATTGCCAATTGAAATTCCAACAAGAATTTGATGCAATTGTCACACTCCCTGGCTATCAAATTCCCCATCTCTGCTGAGATGGAAAAAAAAATAGCTTGAAAATCACAAAAACACTGCAGTTAAGAAAATGTTCTGAAGGTGAGGAGGCTGAGGGTGATATGACTTTGTTGCTATGGAAACAGCACTAACCAGCAATGTGTTTGTCATCTGTTTTACAGGATAGGAGGGAGGAGCAGATTAAGGCGGGAACCTATGAGCGCAAGTTCAGCTTGTCATCATGAGCTTTGATGTAAAAAATCCCTCCTGTAATGTTCCAGATATGATGCCAGTGTATGTGATTATTATTAAACAAATACAATTCTATCATTCAACTTGTGTAATTAATATTGGCTCTAAACTGAATATTCTACAAATTCATCAATATGTGCATCGTATCTAAATGACCAGAGACCAAATCTAATTTAAAACTACATACACTACAAATATAATTTTTTTGTGAACAAACCAGATTTTTATTTGAAAAACATCTGTTTTGATAAACCGATCCAAATTCCCTCCAGGTCACTGCTTGCTGGGCCTCCAGTTGGGGTTAAAGTGGCTGCGGAGAGTTTCCCAGCACTGGTAGTAGCTCTTGTCGAGCCTCTGACATGTTTGGAGACCCCACTTAGTCACGGCCATGTTGAAGGACGACTCAAACATGAAAGCCTGGACGAAGGGGATTTTGAGAAATGTAAACTTGCCGCGGACATTGGTTTGACTGATTGTGCTTTTACAAAAAAAAAAAACGGCATCTTTACCATGGTTCCCTCAGCCACTCTTTCTGGTTTGAGGTCAGAAGTGCTGTTCTTCTCAAAGCAGTCGCCGTCCGGGCCGTGTGGGGTCATCATGCTGTGAAGGCTGGCCCCTCCCGGCTGGAAACCCTCTTCTTTAGCCTCATAATGGCCTTTGATCAGACCCATGAACTCACTCATGCAGTTACCTGAAACGACAAGCAGGGGGTGCTGTCACACAGACCAACGGAGAGAGCGGAGGGCGAACTTTCCACTAGATGGCCTTGCAGATCTTCCATGGAGAGGGACCACAGCAGTCCTGCCTCCACCGGTGCCAGTCATGCAGCAGGTGGATTGCTCTCAGCAACTGTCTTGACACTAGCTGGGTAAATGGACCTGTTAGCTTCTAGCTGGCTTGTTTCAATCCATGATAGACTCAAATTACCCTCACTGGGCTGAATCTGACATTTCCATTCAAAGTAGAGCTTTCAAATTGAGCTGTCTTAACAATGTGGTCCTCAAAATTCATCGAGTCGGCCCTGTGAAATGTGAACAAAGCATTTGAGTGTTGAGGCAAGCCTGCGTGAGGACGACTGTGCTCTTACGGTGATAGTAAGGTGGACGAAAGGTATGGTCAGCGACTCCCCATCGTGGGGGGAAGATGACAAAGTCCGCTATGGCCACACCAGGTCTGGTGGATTTGGCTGTCAGCACAGTAAAGATGGATGGATCCTACAGGAAGATCAATAATGTTTGACACTCGAGGGGTTTGTCAGCCTCATGGGCATTGTGGTTGTGTTTACTCCAGGGGCAACAAAGAGAGAAATATGAAAAGTACCGCGTGGTCAAAGGCTACGCAGTTGATGACCATGAAGTTCTTCAGGTTGTACTTGTACGGTGTGTAGTTCCCATGCCAAGCGACCACATTGAATGGAGAGAAATCCTACGTGGAGAGCACAGAACAACACAAATAAGAGAAGTCTGCCCGAGCAACAAACACAAAAGACTTTAAATTGAGCTTTTCAGGGAAAAAGGAACAATGAATAATGTCTTTGTAATCTTAAATTCCCAGGGAGAGTACTTCTTGACATAAAGAGAAAAAAAATGGTGATAATGAAAATTGTAAGAGGGTGAGCTTCTTTCAATCTTTCTTCTCTTTCATTCCCCCTTGTTCTTTGTGCGGCGAGGCTCCAGGTATTATGGGGTAATTGGATTCACAATCAAACTTTCCCAAACTTTGAGCATTTTGATGCTCGCAGCGGCACATTTGTGGAGGGGGGGGGGGGGGGAGCAGCAGCGACTGCAGAGATATTTCTTCATCTTGATTGTTAAAACCACAGCAATTTTATATAGTTTCTCTGTTCTGATAATGTCACTGCAAAAAAAGACATTCAACAGCAGCTGTAAAATCAATACAGTTCATTACAGCTCAGGCTGCCTTCGTGCTGACCTCCATCGGTCCTCCACACGTACGTTTCCACACAGGAACAGCCAACACACACGCACAATAAAAACCCGCAAGTACATATACGTACTCAGGTTTAAGTAAACTCACACACAGCCTGACTTATAGACACCAAAAAACAACTAGACTCACACTCATTTCAGGCACTAAATTGTCAGCCATGGTAACACATAAAAAAGAAGTTATTAAAAAAAGCTCTTTAGGAAACCCAGAGCGGGTCATTTCTTGGACGTCGGTCAGTGGTAACTCCACAACATTCGATTAAAACCAGGGGAAAGCTGGAGGACTGCGAGCACTTTCACACACATGCACACACACCCAAAAGAAAAAAAAAACACAAACATATTGGCCCAGTCAAGCAAATAATAAGTTAATTTGAGCAATTTCAGCACTCTGCAGGGGAACAAAACAGCAGGACCAGACAGGAGCGGCTGCATCTTCCCTGAGATGAGGCCTCTGTCCCCCCCCATCTAGTTTTCTTGCCCCTGTAGCTTCGCTCTCTAGACTCGGAGAAAGGTGGACACCAAGAACAGAGTGTCACCTCTCACCTCGGGCACATAATACTCCACAAGAGGCAGCATGGAAAAAAAAAAAAAGAGAGGCTTGTTTTGCTTGAAGAACACGTGCTACGTTGCCCTTGTGTGGTTCTATCTATGAATAATAACAGTACTAATTTGACATGGTTTCCACGGTTACCCCCCCCCCCCCCCACACACACACACACCTTCACCCCCCCCCGACAAACTTCTCCTCCAACCTCCTCCCTGTCTCAGTGAAAAAAAACCTCCTGTCAGACATTATGTGTCGATCCAATTATGTGCCCAACAGGACATTTCAGGATGGGGAGGATCATTCCCTGAGTGAAATATGCTGAAATTAATGCTTAACTTGGAAAAGGTTTTCTCCTACAAAGCAAAGCTTCGCAGGTATACTGTCTGTAGCTCCAGAATGCCTTAACTAATTATGAGTGATTAAGACTCATAAGGGAGTCGAGGCGGAAACCCGCTGAAAGGATAACAGCCGAGGCTTCGATATTAAATCATCAGGGATGGCAATTCAGCCGGCAGGAGCTGCTAATGGATCATATGCTTGACTTGGACCGTTTCCTGTTAGGCGCCGAGGCAGTTCCATGGTGTTTACTGAAGCGAGCACGAACCTAAATAGGCTAATAGGCCAAGTGTGGCGCATGTGTGTGTCCATGTCAGCCAAAGGCGCACACGTGTGGATTATTACAGTCACAAACACTAAAATCAAACGTCCCAGTCTCCACCTGTTGGCAGGCGAACAGCTTTCCCTGGTACTTGTTGACCACGGTGTAGCCGCTGGACACTTGGCGATCCTCGTACCATGCGACTGGGCAGAGGAAGTCCCTCGGGTTGGCCAGACCGTTGGCTCCTGAAAGAGGTTCACACATACAGCAGAAAGACTGATCACAATGACGTAAAAAGCTCTGCATTCAGAAGAAACCGTTCTAAACAGGTTGTGAAGCAGATGTTTTTTCACCGTGTGCTAAATGTTTCAGTCTGAGGCGGGAATGAACAACCGGTCCACCCGCAAAGCACCAGGACTCTTACCGTGAAGCAATGCTGTTGAGCTGAAAACGGATGGTGCTTAGCCATTTCATTGGTTTTATAGGCAGATTCATCTGAATGATGGTGTACCCCATATTGATTTAAAAAAAGGAAAAATAAGTGGATGGTGCCTCTGTCTTTAGTCCAGGATGCCCAGAATGACACTGTTTTCTAATTGATTTACAAGATTTAATTGGTTGTTAAACCATTTGCATTCACAGTGGCTATGGTGACATTAACTGTATTATTAGACTTTGGATAGGAAAAAAAAACAGTCATGTTCAGAGTGTTGTAATGTGAGCACGAGTCATCAAACTACTCGGTAACATGTAAAAGGAAAATGAATAAAGAATCTGCCAAGACATTCGGGTACATGCTTTCCATTGTCTCATTTGACAAGTCAAATAGTCGGAATATCTCTGAGGCATAAAGGAAATCTATTTACAGTTGTCTTTGTGGTGTTTTAAGTCCAGCTGAAACAAAAGGATATTAGCTCTGCGGAAATGTGACAGAAGCAGATAAAAAAATATCCACGAATATTATAAACCATATCAATCCCGAAATGTCAGTGTCAGGATGACTCTGAGACTCAAGTTAGAGGATCACGAGAGGAAATTGGCTTCATTCTTTGCCGACCGTGAATCTCCGCACATCATTTGAGATAATTCGGTCTGAACAAGTGTGGCGGGATGACAAACGGAGCCGCGTGGTTAGCTCGGGCAAAAAAAAAAAAAAAAATCCCACAGACTTTCAGAGATAAGTGTCAACAATTTAGTCAACAATAGCATGTTGCAGGGAACAGAGGCAAAGTGGCTGGTGTGCAGATCTCAAAGAAGGATGAACACATACAGTATATATTCATCCGTCCTTAGCTGCACTCACAAACATTACTCCAACACAAACCTATAGGCCCCAGGTCAGGGAGCTCAAAATGGGCTCCGTACACCTCCAGAATGTAGCCCCTGGTTTGCCCAAACACGTCCACGCTGAAGCGCATCCCTTGCTGGGGGAAAAAAAAAGAAAAAAAAATAGAAAAGTGGCAGTTAGAGGAAATTTAGTGCTGTTATGTAGCAAATGTGGGCTCTATCAATGCGGAGGGACAAATGGACTAATGTGTTTGGGAAAACACGCGTGCAGCTGCGCCTGGCCCTGTGTTCAGGCTGTCTGAGACCCGTACTCTTTATCAAGCCCACCTCCCCAAAGTGCTACGCCATAACTCTATATGTATAGTAAGAGAAACGTGGGGGGGCGCACGCCATTGTTGATTTCAGAGGGGGGGAAACAAAATAGAGGAGATGCGAAAACAACCTGCCCACCTGGATAACGCAGATCTCGTTAGGCTCCACCATCATCTTCCCGAACTCTGTGGTGATCAAGATCTCGCCCTGCTGAGGGACTGCAGACACAAACATTTAAAGACGACAACAGAGAAAAATAAAAGAACCCGCTGAAGATCGTGCCTGTGATAAGTGACGGCCGTCTCTCGCACCTATCAGGAAGTCGCCATCTGAGTTGTTAAAACATCTGGAAGAAACAAGGCAGGCTGATTGGAAATGTCACCAGAAAGAAAATCACCATTTAAAAAAAAAAAATTGATTTTAAGTTTTTGATTTGAGAACAAAAAAGAGACAAATGAGCTCACCTGTCCACCATGGAGGTGTTGCACATGTACATGTGGATGCCGATGCCGTTGCGAGATCTGGCATCTCCCGCCCCGCAGACGGTGTGAAGACCCTGAAACGCACGGCAAGATGACACGAGAGTCGGTCGTTAAACTGGAGACCGTCCAGAAATCGGGCCGTTATGTAGGAGGAAAAGGAGGACGACTCACAGCCACAAAGTCCACTTTCTTCTCTGTCGACTTTGGGATGGTGAACGGCAGCCATCGCAGCTGTGAGAGACCCCCACCCCCCCAGAATCAGAACCATCCTCTTAAAGCCAGTTCAAAGTGACCAGTGAGCCCTCGGTGGATATACCTGGTTGGGATCGGGCTCAACTTCATCCCAGTTCTCTGTGAGGTCCCCGTTTGGCACGGGGGCAAAAGGCTTGTGCTTGACAGATGGGATGATTCGGTAGAGCCAGCTACAGACAGGGGCACACACAGAGTTTAAGCCCGCATTTGATCCGTTTGATCCAAATAGTGCTGAGTCTCTCAAAATAAAGAGGAAGACCTTCTCTTGTTGGCGGGTCGTGGGCAGGTGAAGGCAGAGCCAGAGATCTGCTCAGCATAGAGGCCGTAGGGGCAAACCTGGGGATTGTTCTGTCGAGACAGTTCATGGGTAAGAAGCCAGGCTTATTTTTTATTTAATGCTCGGGATTAGCAGTTTGAATTGATTCTGTGAGAGGCATCTCACGATAAGGATCTTAAAGTGGTGGATCATCTAAAGCAGTTACCTGTCCTTCAGGTAAGGAGCCGGGACAACGCGGGTCCTCAGAGGAGAGCTCGTTCCCAAAACCAGTCATGTACTGAAAGAGTCAAAAAGCCAACACTCAGACGAAGGCATGGAAAAGTGAAAAAAAAGGGATTAAAAAAACTACATCACGCAGCTTCATTGTCATGCGGGATAAATGTGTTCATGCTGGTTATAATTAAATTTGAAGGCTTGTCATTAAGGCTTGTCTTTTTGTTAATTGTTGTCATATTGATTCACATTAGATCTATGATAAAACAAACGGCAGTTCTGGCAAATCCGCCCTCCCCCTTGCAGTCATCCATTATTGTTGTGTTGATGTGCTACAGGAACAGGCTAATTACACGAACATCCTCCACAGAATTCTCTGTTCACTATGTCAATTACCGTATAGTGGCATGAAAATGTTTGGTTGTCTCTGGTCAAAATGTCCATGACAGGGAACAGAAAAGATTACTTGATCCAAAATTGAGCTTATGATGAATATAAACATATCTTTTGACTATAATAGACAGCTTACTCTTCTTTAGATATATAATTTTAGAAGGAGATAAAGGATGGAAAAGGTGTGTCCAAGACTGAGCACCACAGAAAACTTGGGCTGATTCAACCTAAGCTAAAGATTAAGAAATAATTGGCAAAAATTATTTCTTGATTAGTATTTAGTATTTTCCTCTATTAAAGGTGCACTTAAGTGAAACCCTCCTTGGACTTGTGTTGTAGCCAGTGGCACAAAAACTAAAGAAGGGATTCAGTAATGCCAATGTGCGAAGTTGCAAAGATCAGGATCCAAAATAATGCACAGAGAGCAGCCTTCAGAGAAATAAGACCAATGCTTTGGCCTTAACATTCTCCTGGGCCTGAACAGAATGGACAGTATCAGGATGGACCCCAAACTTTGATTTTATGACTTTACACAAGTAACTGTTTTGCATGAGTAAAAAGTAAAGATTCTTACAGTGGCAGCTGTGATAGCTGCTGGATAAATGGAAGCTGCTGGAGTTTTGGGCTCTTTGTCTGTCCAGTCAATTTGATTGGTTCCTGACAAGAATTCTGGACATATTCGACTTGCAAATTCACAATAAGCTTTTCTAAATCAGCATTTGAACAGTAGGGTGTAAGTTGGTTAGTAGTTTAGGTGACACCAGCACCGGGAAAAATTCTGTTCAATGTAAACAGGCATCTTGCTGAGTCACCCTTGCTCTGCAAAAACAGACTCTCCCATTTTTAAATGAGTTCCATATGTGCGCGTTCCTGCGTCCCAAGTGCGTGTTAGGGGCTCCGTGTGTTTTACAAAGCAAAACTCGATCATGTTTTGACACTTCTTTAAAGTAACTGGAGAAGAAACGTGTGGGGTGGTACTACTTTACTAAATAAATGGTTGAAAAACTTTAAAATAAAGCACAAATTCCACATTAAATGTTCATTTTCATGGACACCCTTTCAGCTGATCACACTCTAAATGTATTCATTCATTTATTTATGTTCAGATTTTCAGATTATGCTCTGAGGTTCGGACAACAGTATGAGATTGCCGGGGTGTCTGCGACCACATCTGGGCAGATGCTGAATGCTGCATTCTCATTGGCTGGAGGGAACGCCCCCCTCTAAACCACCGATCTCTTGCAGCAATGGTGGCTCAAAGACCCTTTAAAAAAGCCCATTAATGCTGCACAAACAGCTAAGAGTCCAGCTTTGTCTCCGTTTTCCTGCTGAGATCCAACAACCATGCATCTTCCCACTGCTTGCTCTGAGTCCATCACTTTTGGGGATCGCGCGCAGGCGCAGGACGAAAGTGCTGCATATACTTTAACACACACAGTTTTGATTTAAACGCTGACTTACCTTGAGCCCGGCCATGGTTCTGTCTTTTAAATCTCTCCTCGCTGTTGCCGCTGAGCGTCTCGGTGGTTGCACACGAATTTGCACTTCTCCCTGCGCCTGTCGGACAGAATCCACTTCAGGATGGTCTGGGAACTGTGTAGAGAGAGGGGCTGGATTTATACTCTTTCCCAATATGCGTTTAATTAGGCCTTGGCTGACTCCGTGACGCAACAGACGGCTGCCCGGCGCAGAGAAGAGGAGGAAGGCTCGAATGGCCAGAACTGTGCGCAAACACGAGCTGGTCACACAGCCAAGAAAAACAAAAGGCAGGGGAATATTTAAAAGATCTGAGTTCAACATACGGGTAACACATTGGCTCTAAAGTCCTAAGGCAACCCTTTTTTTTCGCTTCCTGTAGCTGTCAGACTTTGTTCGAATATTTAAGAGTCCATTGAAACAATAGTTGGTTAGTTTTGTTTTGTTTTGGTTTTTTTGGGGGGGGGTCGCAAGGGATGAACTAGTGGTACTGAGCACATCCAAGACAACTGGGTAAGGAAATTGTCTGTTTTTGGATGTTTTTTTAACAAAAGGTGTGCCACAGAAACAGAGGCGTTATTCACATTTCTTTAGTTGAAAAATCAAAATTTCCACTGATGGCATTTTCGGCAAACAGAAAATATTCTTTTTTTCACATCAACACAGTGCAATCCGACACGTTTATAAGCTTCCTTAGGGCTGGTTTGCATTGCATTATGAAAATACCTGAACTGGACAATTAGAAGCTGAACGTTAGGCCTAATAATAAAGCTCCATCCATCAAACAGCCGTACAGGACCGTGCACCCACTGTTCCAGGCCTCGCAGATATGGGCTTGATGGAAGGGCTGTCAGGGCATTCATAAAGAAAAGAAACTGGTAGAAAAGGCTGAGGTATACCAAATGACACAATAACTACAGTGACAATTAGTGGCAAGAGTCTTGTGGAGTTAATAATCATCTCCTAAGCCCAGACCTCAACACCGTTAAAGTAGTGAGAGCATGGCTGTTCCTGCTTGAAGCAAATGACAAAAAAAGCTTGTCGAAGAGGTTTTAGGCTATGTTAAGCAGTACAGGTGATCAAATCAAACACTGATTGTACATTTGGAATGAAACAAACTAGTTTTTTCTGTATTTCCATTTACTTTTATATGTATTTGACCAACTGTTTCGACCTTTTCAAGTTTTCCTCGTGATATCTAAAGAAATTAAGAGTGGCCAAAGACCTTTGCACTGTACTGTTTGTCCTAAAAGAAGGCAGGTTAGGTCTGAGGTCAGCTATTTATATACTAAACTATTAGAAGTGAAACATTCTGAATGGAAGGAATATCACATCTGGCTCTGGTAATATGAGGGGTTTTACGGAACTAAAAAAAACAAATTATTCCAAAATCGGGGGATGGGAATCAGTCATGGACTTGAGTTGACCCTGCATGCACTGCTTGTGCAAACAATGGTGTCATGTGCATCCTCACGTCCTACAAAACAAACATTCAAGGAAAAAATCTTTTTTTTTTTCCTCCTGCTTCCTGAAAACGTTAATTGTATGTTATTATGTGAAGCGAGTTATCCTTCCCGTACAGCTATGCTGATAATTGACTTACTAGCATCAGACCGTTGGGGCCTGGTCAACCCCAGTCATAAAAGAACAACAGCCCAGGGCCTCGTAAAGGCTTACACACGATGTCCCGCCAAATTTATTCAGTTCATTTCTTGCAATGGGCGGTCAAACGAGGTGTGCCTAATGTCCCCCATGCCGCATGTATCAAAAAGAATCAATTTCACCTCTGTCGTTTCCCCCCGCTTGTTGATTTCTCCTCTCTGTTTTGGGGGATGTTGGGGAAGGGTAAATGATGGCAATTCTCATAGCGAGGCGCAAATAAACTCGCTGCGGCAGAAGTAACTGTTCTCCGGCGAGGCATGCAGTCAGAGCCGGGCGTCCCGCTGAGAGACAGTCAGGGTGCCGAGCCAAAGACGAGAAAGCCCAATGGCAGGAAAATATCACATCCCCGTCTCCGGAAATTGATCTGTTCCTTGTACGGAGAAAGAAAATGAGCGATTTTAATTTCATCCCCGAGTCTGCTGATAGAATTCTAGAGTATCAGGGTCCAATCTGGATGGTGCCTACATGCTTTAGGAGAGGAGGGAATAGCTGGAGACTGGAGAGAAGAGACTGCAGTTGCTTACACGCAGCTCCATCTATGCATGCCTAAGTGGGCGGCAAATGTTTTTTGTTATTAGATACCTGCTGAATTCAATGGCTTGATGGTAAATGATACTCTCACCTGGCAAAGTCTGTCCCCATACGCAGAAACAAGCCATTTATGCACCAAACACATGCAGTTACAAGCCTATTCTGAGCTGTAATGATATTTTGGTTTTCATATAACATGCAAGGGCAAGAGTGAGTAATCTGCTACAGTGTTTAGGAAGATTGTGCATTTCAGACAAATATCCATGTAAATGCAAATAATTTAATTTACCAATATAAAGTTGTTTTCTCCCTTTAATGACCCTACAGACCTGTGACGCTGATGGTGTGTACTAACAATCCACACACATATGCAGAAGTTGTTTTTTCTTGTAATTCACTCATTCAACTGAAAACAAAAAAAATGTTTAGTATTCAGAATCATTTAGATGATTTATTGCAACCTTAGGAATTTGGTTGTGGTGGAACCTACTTCTAGCTGCCGTCCTTCTGATGCCACTGAAGACCTGCCGTGCCTCACTCAAAAACAATGGACGTAATCAAGAATTTGAACATCTTACAGTTGACGATGCATCTGAATAACTAACTAAATCTGTCAGGCAGGACTGTGGCGCTGCACAGCTCGGAGGAATCGTAGAGGGGCATTGTTGCCGTTTCCCAGAGGCCCACGTCATTGTCCAACACTGAGACCAATAGAAGAGCTGACTGCCCAGTCCAGCTCAGCTATCAGAGGTGTGACTGGGCTTGTCACAAGAGCATCGAGGTGAGTCAAATATATCACCATCAAACATGGCGATGACTGTATTATTCTGTGTGTGACCCAAATTACCCAAAGCATTATTCCTACTTTAGAAAAACACCCCAAATCCAGTATAGTCGGCGAGAACGGAAAGATCTTCACAAGCACGGTTTAATCCTTAATAAAAAAGAGTAGCAAAAGGTCCACAGGCATGGCAGTAAATGTGCAAATCAGTTGTTCATGTACAACATCAATGAAAAATCACACTTTGGAAATAGCAATGCGATGAAGAAAGAATAAGTGATGCAACACAGTGTTAAAAACACTCATCCCAACGTTCCTTAAGCTGCTGACATCAATGAGCCTGTTTTTGTCAAGAACATCATTTTGGGGATTCATCATTCGATGACTCTCAGATGCTTTATGAGCAGTTTCGCTGACGCCTCGTTGAGGCCTGTTCTTTACAGTGTTGGCAAATTTGCCACTTATACTGGTAGTTATACATAAATCAACAGAACGCCTGATTAAGTTAATCAGGCGGCAGCAAGAAGTAACAAGTCATTATTATGTAGGCGCTCATTGTCTTGCTCTTCCTTCTCTCCATGAACGAGTTTTCTCTTTATTCTCTTTTTTTTTCAGCAGTGAAAGGCAGCTGTCAGACTTACTCTTTTACAAAGCAAGGCAAAACACCACTTTCTACAGTATGGATGATTTTACCTATACAAACATGAAATTGAGTCTTTTGTTAATCAGCTGATATCACACAAAAGCTCAACCACTGCTGCAAACCGCATGAGCAAATGCTAGCTGTGTAATTTGCTCTAATTGGTTCTTCTTTTGTATTTCACGGAGCGGCTCGAATGAGTCGGAATTTCTCAGCGTGTTCAGATAAAAACATTTTTAGGAGGACATTTACGTGCGCGCGACATCTGAAATTGCCACCACCTGGCCTCATCTTGTGTATCACTGATAAATAAGGGCTGGATTTCAACACACACACACACACACACATAAAAACAGAATAAATAAGCCGGAATTCTAACAATTTCTAATTACAGACCTGAAACATGTCAGTACGTTGCTGTTTAAAGCTAAGGGACTCCTGACATGAGCCAAACGGCACCACACACACACACACATTCAAAGACAAACACACACACACGTGTTTGACAGCTCTATTTAACGCTGATTAGATTTGCAAGGACATGTAGTATAGCCTCTTTGTGTCTCCTGCGTCCACTCTCTCTATGTCTCTCCCTGAGTAGGTTGAGTATCTCCTGAATCTCATCTTTCGCCGTAATGTTATGCAAATGGTTTAATATGAAGATAAAAGACTGTTGCAGCGTGTGGCGCTCTCGTGGTTCACAGCCTCGTGTTTCCAGGACGATAGCTCTAACGAGGAGGGCACTATTTGGGAGTCATTAAATGATGGCCTTCCTGACATGCACCCGCTCACCACCATCACTGCCCGCCCCGCATCGGCCATTAAAGTGGCTCACACCCACACCAAGACACACACTGCAGACACCTTTTAGCGCCAGCTCCCAGTTTCTTACACATCACAGTGTCACAGAATAGAAAATTACACTCTCCTCCCACAGAGAAAATTGCTTTGGAATTGCTTGGTTATAAAGATGTGCTTTAAAGAGAGGGGGGTGCATGCAATAAAATAGGGACACACACAAACACAATTACTTAAGCACTCTAAGGACAATTCTCACAAGTTAATCAGAGGATTTACCAATTATTGATATCAAAAGAATTTGGTAGTGTATGTGTGTGTTGGTGGCCTGTGTATATGGGCTGCCCGTGCTCAGGGTTGGAGTATTTAGTATGCATGGTCTCGGATAAGATGTTGCTTTCTGCACACCCAAAGACGAGTCGTTAAACACAAAGATGCATGAAATACATGGAAATTGTGTCAAGTCAACCTATACAGTGCATTTAGGAAAGACAGGTGTATGAAAAAAAGAAAAGAAGTGCAAATCAAAAAAGGGAAGATCAAACAAAGTGGAGAAGACATGCTTTAATCTGCTCTGTACTTGAATGC